AGTTTTATTCTGGGTTCTAGGTCCCTAAAACTGTATGCTCTATTAATACATATATATTTTTTATTTTTGTAATAAAAAGTAATATTGCAAATAAAGTAGGTCAAGAATACACCATTTCAGTCTTTCTACCAGTATAGATTCTGTTGAAAAAAAGTGGTTCAGAAAAATAATTAATGTTAAATAAAGTTTACATCGAAACTTAATGCAACAGCAGGAGCTCGAAGCTCATATCTCACTGGGGTGCGTTTTCAAACAATGACGTAACCTGCGGCTGAACTATCATAGTATGATGCATCATTTGGAAAAAGAACGATGCAGTGACGAGTGTTTTCCAAAACTATAGTTTCTCTGTCGCAGATCCATCATTTGAACCACGTTAGTTATATAGTAAAACATCCATAATGATGCTCTAAATGGGGTGGTAACAACTTCTTTATAGAAGAAGCCCATAATTTATTTGTGCAAATTATCTTGTTTAACACGCACACGCATTAAAAATTAATAATTATTAAAATATGTGTAAACGACACATATAGGGCCTATGTTTTCCTTTACACATATAATTGAGAACATTCCACATTCTTTTCTAAAATACAAAATCACTTACAAAAGCTAACAAGTATTCTAATATTATATATCAATCATATAAATAAAGAAATAATGAGGCTATTTATTAAGAAATACTAATATTATTGATGATGATGGGTAATAATAATAATAATAATAATAAGTAGGATATTGTTTATTTATTTATTTTGTCTTTTTTTTTTTTTTTTTTACAATTTGACACATGCAAACCACTGCATAAATGTTCTAACCAACAGGCCCATGTGATATACAGTACAGATACTTAATAAATAATCTACTATAAATTAAAAGCATTAACGTATGCGATGTTTTTGTTTTTTACAAGCTTTGGAGAAGTAACATGAATTCTGCTTTTAAATAATCGGTTTCCTATTGCTTTCGTCATGAGCCATGGCTGTGTTCAAAATAGCATAAATGTTTTCAAAGCGCACTATGAAGGCAACACAATTGTGAACATGAAGATCACTAAAACTGAACTGTAAAAATAATTGAAAGCAAATTACACCTATAAGTGATAACTTTAATGCTTTTTTAAAAATCATTCCAAGTGTAAATGTTACAATGTTCAAAAGGAATGGGGCAAAACTGGGAATAAAACACAGCCAGGAACTATGTTTCTAACTACAGCTCCAGAGATGTAGTTGCAAGCATACAAATTTGCGACGCAGTTTGCAAATGTTCGTTGGAACGATGGATTTGGAAAATAGCGAATCAACGAACTATGTTTGCAACGACGAAACTGGCGACCTAAATGGCTAACAATGGTTTTTGGAAACGCACCCCTGGATGGCTTATTTTAATGCATGGTGATAAGAAAAAAAGCACAAACCTGTCTAAAAAAATCCTTGTTTTGTCATGCTGCAATTGATTACACCTGGTACGAATAGCTCAATAGGGCTCTATTGTGGCCATTCAAGAGCTTTGAAGTGTACATTTGTGCCAATTAATCGTATTTGCTGCAAAAGTTCCTTAGGATTAAAAAAATGCTTTAGAAGTTTTGATGTGAAGTAATGGAGTTAACTACACTTCACAAATGGAACCACATTGCAAAGTGTTGCCAGTCGGTAAGTTGATTATCTTAAAAAAATTCAGCAGAATATCTTTAGGGGACAATCACAGAAAAGCTCTAGCATGTTCTTCTCACAAAACTTAAAAAAAAAAATTGTCTTTTTTTTTGGAGCGAGCCAACCCCGTCACAATCGAAATATCAGAAATCACCTATACTACTCGAGTAGGTACTACATTTGAATTTGAATTAACTACATGACCGTTAGAAAAGTGCGTTCTATACAGTGTGAATGTGAGTAGTACGAATGGAACTCGTACATCTGCCATGTGTTATGATCAAGTGATCTACCCGTGTCAGTTGCCTTGATTCACTCCCATTCATGAAATCTCTTATGGTGCATTATGGGAAAGCGTAGCGTTCATTGTATGCACTAGGGTTGGGCAATGTTGACATTTTGGCATCGTACGACGTCTAATGTGAAACATCGCAATGGATGCCATCGTCGTCATAGGCGGGGTGGTTGTTAAGTAACAATTAATTCATAACAAACTAATCAATTGTAGTTTAGTTGGAGTACACTGTAGTGCATACATTCTCATTGTTTTCACGGCAAAATCCTCACCGCGTGCATGGATTTAGTAGACATTTATGCAGAATGCATCTTTGCACCTAAAAATGCCAACGCAGCACTCACGAACAGATTAAAACAGTTGTTATGTATGTGAACTTGCTGAAGTAAAAAATCCCGCAATGCTTGCCCTGCCTATGTGCTCTTCTTATTGGCTCACTGCTTTAGAACTGAACGCGAATGATTGGTTAATATTAGCTGTCAATCACTCAGTCAATGCCATCTGCCTTCAGATGACAGGAACTACAACCGCGAAAATGTGAAGTGCTGAAGGTGAGAGAATGAAAACAACACTGACAGATTTACCTACAGTTACTAATAATGGCACATCTTATTAGTGATCATGTGCTGAATGTTAATCCACCATTTACACTTTTCCAAGAGTGGGTAAAAGACTTCCAGTGTTTCAAGTCCGCTATGAAAATGACTAAAAGGGGTTTGCAGGTAACAGCGTTTGCCACCAAATCTACACATTTTAAAAGTGAGAGGTTCTGTATAATCCTTCATTTAACCCTCACGATGCTGTCAGCTGTGCAAGCGGCAGCTATATGTAGCATTTAACACAGCTCATGAAAAGATTGTTATTGCTATTAAGATGACATGCAAATAATAAGTTATTTATCAATATAAATGTGTGGTGGGGTGATATATTGCGATGCCAGCTCAGCATCGTGATGTTTGTCGGCCATCGGCGATGGCATCGTCTATCGGCACAATCCTAGTATGCGCACTACAGATTTTTCGCCAGAAGTAATAGGTCATTTGGGTACTTCTCGGTTTTTTGAATACTATAAATTTGGACATACAACTCGGATAATCGCATACTGTTTTAATGTACTATACATTATGGAAGTATGTGATTTTTGGATGCAGCCTTAGTGTTTGTTTAGCAAAGATAATAGTAAGTTATGGTAAAAATTGAAGAATAACATCAGGATTAGAATGTGGTCAGACTTTACGTGTACAAGTGAACAATTCCTTTACTGTCAAAACGTTAAAATACTAAATATCTACAAAAAGATCAATTGTAGATATAGTCATGTTGATTATTAAAGTTTTTTATGTCTGTTTTATTTTGACATGTCTAGAGTCTTTTTTTGCAGCCTCGTAACTTGATTTCTATTGACCATGCTCCATTTAAATTTTACGGGTAACGTGAACCAGCTTATGGCTAAGGTTAAACTTGGAAGCTGACCACAAATTCAAAGAGCCATGTTTGACCATACATGGCGGTTTCAATGGGGGATGTTTTGGTTGACGTTTTGTTATGAAAGACAGTAAAGAGCTCAGATGGCGGTTGTAAATATCTCTACCACTGTGAGCTCATACAATGTTGGCTCAAAACCTGTCATTCAAGCAAGAGGTCAAAAGGTAATGATACTGATACTGTACTTAGGCTGTCGTTACGTTGCTGTTTGGTGTTTGGGATTAGTATAATGTGGTTTAGTTAGGGTTACTGAAAGACACAGCTTTGCTCCCAGCTTAGAAAAAGAGATCAACTCTTTTCCTCAGAGAACTAAGTTTGACAGCCCAGGGCGTGCCGGTATTTGAATTTTTGGCATCAATTTAAAAAAAGCAAGATTACCTCAATGACTCATAAGTGGGAAAGGCTGTTGAGGTTTTGGAGTAGGCAAGAGATCTGTGTTATCAATCATTAAACTCAAGAAAGATTTTAATGGGGGATTGTTTATGTGACCTGTTGATGAGCTACCTACTTACTCTTTTTTTTTGGTGAAGCCATTTCTGGGAACAAAGCTAAGCTATTGCAACAAACTTCCCAAACATCTTAAGTGCTTTAGAGTTATTTCTGTTTATCAGCAATCTGTTTTATTATTCAATTTTGTGTTAATGCTTGCAATTAATTCAAAATTCTTAACTCGTTAAAATAATAGCGGAAATAATCCAAATAAATTAAGCATGCAAAATAGTCCAATTAACGCAATTTATGCCATGCATATCAGAGCATCTGCAACAGCACAAGCACTTGTTACCAAATTGACAGAAATTTCTATTCTAACCTTAACCCAATTTCACTTCACTATTTGCAACCAGGTCAGTTTATGCCACTACACAACAGTAATGTTTTCCATCCAATTATCTGTTAAGCTAATGCATTCGAAATCAGTCCAAAACAGCACTAATGTATGTAGTAATTGTACATTGTATACAGATTTGTCACTGCGGAGATGTGTGGATGCAAGCTTGTGTACAATATTAATTCTTTTTCCACTGCAACATTTATTTACATTCTATACTGTACATTGTTTCTGTTAAGTAACAAGACTTTTGTCAAAGCAAAGTCAGACCTTACTGTCCTAACTAAATAATTAAAAATCAAGGCATGATTATATTTTACTTTGTTAAAATAAGCATAATATAGGTATTTGCCTTTTATATAAGTACCTTCTTATACCAAATGATCAACTAGAAGTCAAGTTGTTACTTGTTTTTCCTAAAACTTGAATGGGCAACAAAACTTTTGTCAGGTAGTGTAAACAGGAATGCTTGAGTCCAATTGCATCAGTTTAATTTATTCTTGTTCTCAAATGCATATAGAATTTGTATAGGGGGAAAATCATTTTACATTTGGATTAAACGGATAGCTATGCCAATGCACATTTCTCTATCTGCAACAAGCCTAATTAAAAGAAAGAATGCAATGCACATCTTTGTGAAGGTCATACGCTGATGTACCAGAAGATATTATCATCAGTCATTATGTCTCTAGAGCAGGAAAATCCCTGCCTTTTTTTCAAGTCCATGATCAAATGAGCAGCCACTTGTCATTAACCCGTAGATCCGATCTTGTGATAAGTTTGATGGCACAAGCTCGATTCTATGGGTCTCTGTCTCTGTGGTAGATAATCGACCAACATGTAGAGCCAGCCTGCTTTTTTTTTAATTTTATTATTTTTTCCCTTTGCTTGTCAGGCACTGAAGTTGCTCAGACTTGTCCACAGTAATTTTACAATCGATTGACATTTATGTAAACTTCTTCAAAAGGGATTACAGCAACTGAGAGTGTGTGCATCCAGGCTGAGGTAGTAGGTTGTATGGTTTAGAATTTTGCCCTGGGAGTTAACTGTACAACCTTCTAGCTTTCCTTGGAGCTCACAAGCCAGCAGTCAGCATACGGTTATCAAAACTAAACTGAAATGCTACTATTGAAACTCAGTCTGCTTTTGTAAATATCCTAAGGCAAATGAACTAATGTGATGAAATACTTTTTATGAGGAACAAGTATTGGAATCAACTGAGCGTATGTCAGAGAACTTTTATATATATTTTACTTGCATCAAAGGATATAGATTCAAGAATAACCTTATCAGTCAGTCAGCATCCAATCACAGCCGAAACTAATAAAAGAATTCAGAAATATATATGCACACCGACACTATTTGTTGGCACTTATCACCAACACATAATGCCTCGTGACTAAACAAAAGTTAATGTGAGCGTGCAGAAGTGAAAAAGTTTGTGATAAATAAGAAAAAGCACGAGGCTGATTTTGTCTCTTGTATGTAACAAGCGAGTGTCAGAAGTGTAAAGTGGTGTATTTCTGTTTTCATTAACCACCATCTCAGGTCAGGGAGTGATTTTGTATATTCACTCTGCAGAAAAACAACTTGAAAAACACTGAAAATAAGCTCAAGCAAAACTCTTTCTAGTGTGCATGAGGCTTTTAATTAGTACTTGATATACTGTATAAGTATTTTTTACTGTTCATTTCATTCATCAATATTTAGCGTAGTGGTTCCTAAAGTGGGGACCCCCTTGAGGGTCACGGGATAATGACAGGGGGTCGCTTGGTGATTTAAAAGTCTAATCAATTTTATTAAACGATTAGAATTACAATATTTTAACCATAAAAATAGTGTTTTAAATAGTAAAAAAACAACATGGAAATGAAAAGCCATCAGCCTTTAAATTATTTAAAGGTAATATATTGAGAATGATCTCTGATTGGCGGTCTCCAAAATTAAACCAAGACTAAACTTTGCTTTGTCTTTTTAGTTGAGGTTAATATTGAATTGAACCAATTTATAAATGACTATAAAAATTTTATGGTTGTTAGGCTTTTGCACTTTTTTGTGTTGTCAATATGCTTGTGTGTGTATATATGTGTGTGTATATATAGGCCTATTGTTGTACGTTTGCATATTAATAACAACCAAGAAGAATTAGGTGGTCGCGAGTCACTGGTATTGTTGTTTTAGGGGTTGCACACTGAAAAATTTGGGAACCCTTGCTTTAGCAAATGCTTAACTAGAATTAGACTCATGTCTTAAACCCAGGGTGAACACATTCTGTATTTGTCAACCTTTCTTGTCTATCTCAGTCCATTTGTGTTGTAAGACTACAGGGTAGCAATTGACCTTCTCTCATAATTCCATAATTCCCTCCCAACAAGAGGATTTTTTTTACTCATCTGTTCACCCTTTAGCTTTCATGAGATTTAGATTTTTCTCTGAAGATCTAATATGAATTTTGCTTAGCTCTGCCATCCCTGACAGGCAAGTGATAAAGCTTGCTTGTGCTTCATGTCCAGTAAATAACCATAATGTGTACGTGGTGGACTGAGGTGTCATCGATTTGTCTGGAGCTGGTCCTTTCGGTGCTGTCAAAGAGCCTCATGGATCAATGGTGGCTCGCCCTTTGACCCCTAAGAGAAATCAATAGCATTGAACGCAAGGGGCATGGGCAGCATCGATAGAGTTGGCTGTCATTCGACGTGACAGGACATGATAGTTATTAATGTTTGCACACTCCACACTGTCAGCTACTACAGTCAATCCCAGCTCAGAAAAAAATTTTACTAGACAGATTTTATGTGGCCGAAGATATATTTAGCAGAGCTGAAATGTTAGTAGAGTGAAGGATTGTGCACTATTTAAGTAGATGGAGGATGACTTTTAAATGTGAATTGAGGTAGCGAAAAGTAGACCGCATTTGGAATTTGAATATTGGTTTAACAAAGTCTTTAAATACTTGACAGAGACATACAGTTTCATTAGAACTAACTCTGGTGCAATCACTATGTTAGTGCTGTTCATTTGAATGCTCCCAAACCTCTGTGCAAGCAAAAATGCGGAAACAAGATCTCTGAAAATGTTTTACTGAAATACGAATGCAATAAGGACAAGACATCTAAATGACCAAAAAATAGGACATTAAATAAAACCATCTCCTTGCAATAGATCTTTGTGCAGTGGTGGAAAGCGTACTGAAAAATCATACTTAAGTAAAAGTATGATTACTTGCCTTAAAATGTAGTGCAATAGAGTAAGAGCATCTGTTGTAAATATTAATCAAAGTATGTGTAAAAAGTAGACCTTTCAAAAGTACTCAAGAGTAGTGAGTATTATGCTTTAAACAGCTGATGCATTTACATGTAATTTGTGGATGTGTGTAAACGTAACATTCTGTAGTGAATTTAGTTATTGCTCAGCAAGCACACAATGTCATCTGACATTAATGTCTAGCCAGCGTCTAAGACCAATGTTATTTTGATGCCTAATAACGACGTGAAATGATGTTGATTGATTTTAGGTTGAGTTAGAAAGTGACCAAAATCCAACGTCGAGCCAACATCTTAAACCAACGTCATATAAACGTCAAATACTGATATTTATTTGTCAGGTATGGCAACCAATATCCAACGTCTGATAGACGACATAGTGGTAATGTCCACACAACGTCAAGCTGTAACATCATTAGACGTTGGCTGACTTTAGGTTGGATGTTTTCTAATCCCCATAGACAAGAAAGAATAAAGTAGTGACTACAGGTTTAAGGAAAGTAGTGGAGTAAATGTACCAATTTAGCACTGAAAATGTACTTAAGGGAAGTCAAGGTATACATTTTTTAAACTACTTAGTAAAGTACAATTCCTACCAAAAAAAAAAAAAAACTTAATTAAAGTAGTTTGAGTACTTGTAGTTGGTTACTTTACACCATTGTCCTTGTGTGACAGTGAATTTTCTGATTTGACCACTACACATTTTACTCATCATGAGATCTTGGCTGATAAAAATACCCCTATAAAGTGATTAGATATATGATAAAAAAAAAAAAAAAAAAAAAAAAAAAATAAATAAATATATATATATATATATATATATATATATATATATATATATATATATATATATATATTAATTAGTTTTGTATTTGTCCTATAGAGTAAAATATAACACTAAACCGCACAAGGACTAATAACCTTTGTAAAGCTGGAAATGAATTCACCGCATCCTTAACGTCTAAAGGTGAAGGCGGGGGTCAGCAGTGTCCAGACACTGAGGCAAAGGCTGTAACAGAGTTGATTGATTACAGGCACTAGTTTAGGGCCAGCATTGATTTCATTTGCTTTAAAAGTCCCCCGGCCCTGTAGAGTCTCCAATGTCTGCAGTCTGGAGTCTAAGCGGACTTGGACTTGAATTATGTGTTGCTGTAGAAATCGCTGTGTTCCTAGTGGTGCAGTGGAGATTATATACTGACATTCAGAGCGCTGCGCTCCTCTGAGGATGCCTGCATAGGGCAGGAGTGTTAATGAAACGGGGAATGAACTTATCCACAGGATAGGTTGTTCTGCAAGTCATTATATCGTTACACGCACCCTCTCAGCCTTTCTCAGTGTTTGTGCTATAATGTTAGACGTGCTTAATGATGAATTAGTCATTAGGCATAGACGTATTCATAACATGCTATCAGCACTGGTGTAAATGATTGCCTAACAGTTCATTTCTCAAAGAATATGTCAGCAAATGACCCGGACCAACCGCAGAACAGTTCGTGCGAAAGGTTTATTGCACTCCTCAGTCAATTAAGGTTAGCATCCCCTGAGACGAAATGGGGGTCAGAAGACATTGAGTTCGTTTTTCTTTGGATCTTCAGCTTCACTTTTCTGCCACCAGCCATTTGCCTTGTTCCTGAAGAGAAACGCTCGCCTCACTCATGCGCCGCAGCCTCCTGCCACTGCGGGACAGGGTGATGGATGTCTCCCGCAAGCCAATGGCAGCGAACGTCGGGGCGGGAATAACCTGCGCCTTCCAGTCAGCCCCCCGCCCCCCTCCTAAGACCAGTCTGCGTCTGATTCAGCACCCGGCTCCTCTTCTTCACCTCCAAATCTGATGTTTTTTCTTCTCCTTCAGAGATGGATGGTGGCAGCGATGGCGACTCGTTTGTTCGGAAAGCCAAAGGTAAATTGTGAATGCCGATAATAATCTGCTCATTCCCAAGAGCATCACCTCGGTCCGTTCCCCCCTCGTCCACCTCAAGGGAGGACAGGGGCCAAAGGTATGGGGGGCGGGAGTAGACTGGGGGAGGAGCCGGCAGAGGTGAAGGGAATAACATCACTCTTGTTTTGGCTGGGGTGAGCGACTGATTTGCCACCACAGATGGGAGAGATTTCATTAAGCGCACTGAATAGTGGCAGCAGAGGTAAAAGTGGGGGGTGGGGTTTGCCGTTCGGATGTTTTCCACATCTGTATGTAGTTGCCAACTAGTCGCATGTCCAAAAAACTGAGTGACAGCTTTGTCTTGAGGCGGTTTAGTGTGAGCCCGCAATTGCGTCTGAGTGTCCGATACAGGCTATTTTAAAAAGAACAGACTTCCGATGGGGATTTTTCTGTCTTTTATATTGTCTGATATTTATAACCGCAGTGCAAGGTTACTTTGTCCTACCTGTGTTGTGGACGATACACCTTGCGTCTCTGCTTGGTATCTGCGGGTCTGCCATGACTAAGAGAAGACAACAAAGAGGAAGGACTGACCGTCTGGTTTTGAGATGGAGGTGGGGGGGTGTTTCCTCTCCTTACACAAAGACTGCAGAGCAGAGGGCATTTGTCTATCAAAGTCCAATTCAAAAAAGAGGAAACAAGTTTCACAAGTTGTCATTCAGCTTTTAGTCGTTCCACTACATCATCCTATTGCTTTACTTTCCATCTCGAGCATCTCTTCGTATTTTACTTGCAACATTTTCAGGCTTGCGCAATTAGTAATGACAGACAAAATGTCCTTTCTAATGCTTTATCTCAGGACCGGTGATGCTGAAGGACACAAAGCAGACATGATGCAGCCAGACACAAACTTTTGGCAGTGTAGCAGATGCTGAGTTCAGCTGTGATGGAAGAGAAGCGATAGGCTCAGTTGGTTATGGCTGCTCTCCTCCTGTTCCCTGAGACCCTAACTCGTGAGGTCTTTTTCCAAAATCACGGGTCAGGAGCTTGGGAGACAGGTGGAGGGCTTCAGCAGCTTTGATCAAAAAATATTCAATGAGATTGTTTGACAGTCTGTTTGCCCACTTTATAATTGTATTGTGTTATATATGGGCTTTTCCCACTGTGAATAACCCTGGGTTAGCTTTTAAATCTCAGGTTAATGCTACTTTTAACACTGGGTAAAGCTTTTCACGTATCAATTTTAAAAATCGAGTTCCATTCAGTTTTAGTTCAAAAACAGTATAACAGTATCCTGTGTAAAAATGGACTTCATGAAATGTTGGAATTTTTTGCTTTTTGCCAATATAAATGGCCTCATTGTTTAATTTAATAAACACTCGTGACCTTTAAACTTGCTTTAAGCTTTAAAACACACACACACACACACACACCCAAAAATACAAGCATATACTGTGCTCATCATATATAAGTACACCCCTCACAAATCTCTCATTTTTATTAATAGTTTCTATAGGAAGTTTAATATTATAATATTCGTACATATACATTGGAGTAGTCAGTACTGAAGACAAATTTGGAGCTAATCTAACAAAATAACTTACGATAACAGTCCAAATTTTGTATACCCAAATTTATATATTAGGGGAAAATATTAAATGAAATTTAAAAAAAGAGCAAAATTCAAGAGAAACAAAAACTAAAAGTTGTTCTGTGGCCTAAAGATTATTTTATTAAATATTTATGTTTAATCTGTTTTGTTTAAATACACCAAAATATATTACCCAAATTCACTGAGGAATGGATACAAATATTGGTTTTCAAAATGGGGTGTACTCCATTATGCTGAGCACTATATTATTTAAAAAGAGACCACTTCAAATTTCTCAGATTCTCTGGATTTACTAAGCATGGGATTTAGTTCAATTTGTTTATGTTTTTATTTTATAAAGGTCTTATGTCTTCTAAACTTGCCAACAAAACACTGTCACTTGGAGCATTTCCCCAGAAGATAAAAACAATAAACAACAAAAATATTAATTTTGTTTTCGTTAAAACTTTTAGTGGCTCGGTGGTTAGACCTGTCGCCTCAAAGCAAGAAGTGGTTCTAGTCCCGGCTGGGCCAGATGGCATTTCTGTGTGGAGTTTGTATGTTCTCCCTGTGTTCTTCATTCGGTTTCCCCCACATTCCAAAGACATGCGCTATAGATGAACTGGGAAAGCAAAATTGGCTGTAGTGTGTGAATGCAATGTGTATGGTGTTTCCCAGTAATGGGTTGAATCTGGAAGGCCATCCACTGCGTAAAACATATGCTGGAATAGTTGGTGGTTCATTCTGCTGTGTCAACCCCTGACTAAGCCGAATGACTAAGACTAAGAATGAGTGAATAAATAATTTTAAATAAATAATGTTAAATGCTTTAATTTTTTATAAAAATCAGGGTTATTTCACCAAATATTGATTTCTTATATCTTCTTAAGTATGTGTTCTGAAAAAAAAGGTTTGCTTTTGGTTATTTTATTCAACAACATAACAAAAAGCTCTGAATCAAACCTAGAGTCAAGTTACTAAGCGTAAGGCTAACCTGATATTAAATTAACCTAGTGTTAGAAATGACATGTGAAAAGCCCACAGGCCTTTTCAAGACCTGTATTTAATCTCTGAACTTGATTAGACATAACTTAATTTCACAAACTTCAATCAGCTGGTTTGCAAATTCGGAAATGGCCACTTACACACTTGGCAGCTTAGGTGTCTGGTTATGAAAAAAAAGTTCTCACATACTGTATTATTGCAGTACTACAGTAAAAGTATAATTAAATGCAGCCAAATGTACATGTCCAGTATGTGTAGTTTCGGTAAACCGAGATGTATCTTGTGGCTCTTTCACAAGCACAACTAATGCATTAAAAGGCGTATCAAAAGGAGAATTTACTGGGAATTTAATATGTAGGTAATGCATTTGGTTTGCTTCCTGCTGGGCATATGGTTACTATTACAGTATATTGGCAGAGACAGAGATTGTCGAAAGTGTAGGGAGGGCAAATGCTGTTTTCAATAATTTTTTCGAAGAAGTTCTCTGGCAGATTAATTAAAAGCAGATTGGCTCCTTTATTATGGAATTATCATGGAGGCAAGATGTACAATGGAAATAAAAGGTGGAAAAGGTCAGTATATTCCATTACTGTCTGTGAACAATGAAGAAGGATAAGAAATCTTTTTCTTTTTAATCCGAGAAGCGGGTGGGATTTATTACCATCACTCAAATATTTTCTCGTCGTTATGAGTTTCCAATCAGACTCCAGGATAATTGCTTTGCTTCGAGATGTCATTTCTGGGTTTATGACAGCTGTAAGCGAGTCTTCAAACCATTTATGGATTAATAGCATAATTCTGCAGGCATTTCTAATGCCATTTGGTATGCTTGCCTGCTTCATATTAAATTCATATTAATAATTCTCGATCCCACTACCTGGTTTTCCATTTGCATCAGCCTACATGGATGTGTAATTATAAAGCCACTGACTTAGTAAGATTTTTCTATTAATGAAAGAAAAAAAAAACACACTTCTAGATATATTGTAAGTAATATTTTTCATTACCTCACTCAGACTGACTCGTGCCCCAATTTTGTCATTATTTCAAATCCCTGACTCTCAAACGAGAAAATAGGAGCATCGAAAAATGCAACCTCGACAAAATTGATTGTCCTCTGACGCTAACCATCCAATTAGGTGCAGTATGGCTTTTATATATTTATAAAACTTCACTCCAAGCCGTGGCAGTTTTCCAGCTAATAGGTTGCTCCACTAAGCCCCCAGCAACAGTAGCGTGATAGTCGTCCACCATGAATACAAAACAGCCAGGCATGGCACAGTAAGCCTGAAGCCACTGGACTAGCGGATGCACATCCTCACTAAAAACCGGCTACAGCATGTCTGTCTCTAATCTGGCCAAATGACACATCAAAAAGAGAAGTTGTGTACTTTTTGAGTGGAAACACCTTAGCTGATGGTTTATAGCTGGCTATATTATAAAAACAAGAGTTCTTTTTCTATATAGCGCACAATCTGCAAATCAACATGTACAGTAGAAGAAATTGACAGTAAATTATTATCTTCTCTCAAGATTCTAAAAATTAAGGTACTACGATGTTGGAAAAAAACTGATATGGTAATATTCATTTTTTTTCTGTAATATATATTCTGAAAAAAAAAAGTTTAAGTTGATAGAGCATTATATCTAAAACCTTTCCCCTCCAAATCTAAAACTCTGTGATAACCGGAGAAACTAAATGGCTCTATTTGTAAATACTTCATTATTTTAAAATGATTGGGAAGATTATGCAAATCATTGCGAAATATAATAAACAAAGTACAAGCATCGATATACACTAAATGGCCATTTCATTAGGTACACCTTACTAGTACAGGGTTGGACCACCTTTTGCCTTCAGAACTGCCTTAATCCTTCGTGGCATAGATTCAACAAGGTACAGGAAATATTCCTCAGAGATTTTGGTCCATATTGACATGATAGCATCACACAATTGCAGCAGATTTGTCAGCTGCACATTTATCTCCCGTTCCACCACATCCCATATGTGCTCTGTTGGATTGAGATCTGGGACTGTGGAGGCCATTTGAGTAGAGTGAACTCATTTTCATGTTTAAGAAACCAGTCTGAGATAATTTGCACTTGAACCGTTGATACAAGGCAGGATGGATCTATGATTTCATGTTGTTAGTGCCAAATTCTGACCCTACCATCCGATTATCGCAGCAAAAATCAAGACTCATCAGATCAGGCAACATTTTTCCAATCTTCTATCTTCCAATTTTAGTGAGCCTGTGAGAACTGTAGCCTCAGTTTGCTGTTCTTAGCTGATAGGCACCTGGTGTGATCTTCTGCTGCTGTAGCCCATCTACTTTAAGGATGGACGTGTTGTGCATTCAGACATGCTCTTCTGCATACCTCGGTTGTAACGAGTGGTTATTTGAGTTAATGATGAATTTCTGCAGTTGGTCAGGTTTACCTAATAAAGTGGCTGGTGAGTGTATACAACAGAACAAAAAATACTTTAAGTCAATTATGGGTAAACTTTGCAATTAATCTAAAAGTCACGTGGTCAACTCTGATCCCCACTTGACAGTGCACATACTGTGATTTAATTCACCAGCATGGACCATGGCACTTTGAGCTAGACTTTATGATAGGGATGGTAAGAGAACAGTGGGATGAAGGGGAAGGTAAGTAAAAGGATAAATAGTAAACAGGTAGGTAGGTTGATCAGGCATCCTACAATGATGCCTAGAGACTTGGAGTGGAGGTACCGTCTCTGTAATATTTTGGTAGAGTGGTTGGACCCTCCGGTTTAACCTAGGAGGGAAGAGAGGGTTATAAAGATTGTTAATGGAAAGCAAGGAAATAGAGGGAGGGAGGGTGGGTTTGATAGAACGAGAAGAACAGTGCTAGAGGGCTGGTCTCCATTAAGTAAGTTTTAGGGAGTAGGTGATTGGTTAAGGAGACAAAGTGAGGTGTGGTTTCACTGCTGAACCTTGGTTAACAAGTTAACTCCATGTAAAATAATTGATGTTTAAAGTCTTAAACAATATCTACAAACTGAATCACCATTGTTAATGGTTTACATTGATTTACCACCCAAAATAGTAATTATATGAGTCATGAATTGAGTGTAATTTCTATAGTGCATAGCTGGCATGATCTTCAGCCAATTGAAGTGATGGACTAAATATGTACTGTACACCCACTGAGGTCAAGGAAGGCCTCGTAGCGACAGATATTGCTTGAGGGCGAAGCTATTGTCTCCATTTGCTAAATGAGAGTCAAATAAGGACACGGCAACTGCTTGCGCTTTTCCATCCAACTTTTCCCTTTTCCTCCATCACACTCACGCGTATTTGCAAGCACACACGTGGGGGGGTAATCAGACTTGGCTGATGTCTGGCTTTTTCAGACACTGCGGCAGGCGTCCAGACAGTCACCTGAAAAAATAAAAAAACGCACTCCATCTTTGAAAGCGCTGCCTTTCGCCATTGCTTTCAGTACTCTGCATATAGATTACAACATTTTCATTTCATTTTCTCATTTCAATTTCTCGAAATGAGGGGCAAATCAATATTTTATGATTTTTTCTCCCCCTCATTTTAACCATGCACTCTCAGTCAGCCATTAGCGCCTGTGTGTTACTCACTTTTAGTGTCGTCATTCGGATAGAGTCTGTAAATGATGCAAATGATATTCCGGCTTCAGGTCTGCTATTGTCCCCCTTCAGCTTTCTCCTTGGCGCCCTCTACTGCATTGCTTTGTAGGGGTTGCCATGGCGACCCAATCCCTGCGCACCCATATTTCAGTACGCAAGCGACGACGAGGTGCACCGTGGAGTTATTTGTATCACCACCAACCAAGGTGACTTTCTCTCAGCACTCTGTTCCCTCGAAAGTCTGCAACCCTCATGCTGGTCAGGCCAGCTTGAGATACTGAGCAGACAGGATATGCACAACCAATATGTGATTTGAATGCATGATATACTGTTATTAAGTTTGTCTGCACTTTCTCAGCGCCTAGAATACATTTTGCTATTATTTTTCGAGTGGAACATATTAAGGGTTTCAATCACAAAAGATATATAGAGGACTTTACAGAACATTAGCTCAAAGTCATATTTGATGTTTTATTTGAAGGATAATGTCATTTTTCTATATGGTAACCGGCTGATTAATCTACAGACATTTACCAGCATTATTATGTGCCTGATTAACATAAGTAATCATTTTAAAGTTAATAATGAGCTTTTTTGCATCTGTATGGACACTACCGTTTGTAATTTGAATGCTTAAAATCCTTTTATTTAGTTTGTCTGGACTTTCTTAGCCACCAGGACACCTTATGGTGTTATTTTTTTGTTCAATTGTTCATATTTTAATGAAATAGAGCCTATAGATTTATAGATATGGACCTATATAGATATAAGACCTATAGATATGGATTTTACAAGACATTAGCACAAGGCTGTATTTGCTGTTTAAGCTGAAGCATGACGTCAGTGCAAAACATGCTTTATATATCATCCGGTCTAGTTAATTATCACAAGTAGGCATGAGTCAATAACCGGTTTCAAGATTTACCACAATTTGGAAAAGTTAAGGTTTTAAAATAGCAAAAAAATTTCTGTTATACCGTTCCTAAGTTATATGTAAGGTTTTTTAAATGTGTTTTTGAAGTTTTGTAAACAAATCTGTGCTTTTGAAACTAATGATGATAGCAGATGTCATTTATTTATTTTAATTATTTAGTTGGACAAGTTTACTTTTCTAAAATATTGTAAATGTTTTCAAAAATCAAATATATTGTGTCTGTTCAATGGGGAAAAATGTTGTTTTTATAAAAAAAAAAAAACTTATTTTAGATAAGTAATCACAACACTGTGATACTGTAAAACCGTGATAGTTTTTATCCAAGGTTATCATACCATCAGAAACTTATACATAATGATGTCTAATCACAAGACATAGTAAATAAAGGATTTTACAGGATATTAGCTCAAAATATGTAAAATATGCTTCATATATCGACCAGGCTGGTTAATCTACAGACAATTAAAAATTTACCAGCATTATTCTGTGCCTGATTAACAGAAGTGATCATTTTAAAAGTTAATAATGAGCTTTTTTGCACAGACACAATGTTTATTGACACTGTTTGTGATTTGAATGCTTGATATCCTATTCTCAGCCACCAGGACACCTTTCGGTGTTATTGTTTTAACTGTTTTTTTGTTCAATTGTATGTATTTAGGATTTCAAATAGAGCCTATAGAGGATTTTACAAGACATTAGCAAGAGGCTGTATTTGCTGTTTTAGCTAAAGCATGACGTCATGTCAGTGTAAAATATGCTTTATATATCATCCAACCCAGGTAATCTACAAGGTTTTTTTAATCATACTAAATAGAGGATTTTACAAGACATTAGCGCAAAGTTGTAGTTGCTGTTTTAGTTGAAGGACTATGTCATATCAGTGTAAAATATGCTTTATATATTAATCAGTCTACAGACATTTAAAAATTTATATATTTAATATATTAATATATATATAATTAACAGAAGTGATTATTTTAAAGTTAATAATGAGGATTTTTAGGACTTTCTCAGCCACCAGGACACATTTTGCTGTTATGGTTTTCCAGTATTTTTGTTCAGTTGTACATATTTAGAATATGTAGCTAAGGCTGTATTTGCTGTTTTGGGTGAAGCATAATGTCATATTAGTGTAAAATAAGCTTTATATATATGGCTGCACGATTAATCAAAAAAGATTTTCTACAATTCAGCCAATTACATTTTCAAAGTCAGAAGAGAAGCGTAAAGGCGGTCTTCACATTGTTTTATATACACTGCTCAGCAATGTGGACACTTCCAAATGGTGTTAAAAGTGTCACATACTGTATTTAAATATAAAGAATAGTTCATTTAAAAATGTCATTTCTGTCTGAATGTAATGGCGTATTCATGGCCATAAAATCACACGTGAGCTGACTGTTTGTTTACTGAGAGGACGTGCCCATGACCGCTGTCTACTTTAGAAAACAGAGTCTGCATAGGCTATGAATAATCAGGATAAACAGGAAGTATGATTTGCATGTATGTTTTTTTTTCTTAAAGTTACGGCAGTTGGCAGCCATGACGTGAGCGCACATCATTTAAAAGATCATTCCGCATTTTAGAGTTATGATCACGACAAGCGCTTGATATGTTTTTTCTTTCATATCGAACACAAAGTGTTGTGCATGAAAATGAACGTTTACTGCATCAGTATATGTACTCTAGTTTAATATAATTGATAAGGGAATCTGATAATGACAAATGTCCGATTTTACCAGTGAAAAAAATGGTTTAATAATGTTATCAATGACAAATTTTTAGAATTTTTAGAATTTACTATTATCATGTGCCTGATTAACAGAAGGGGTCATTATGCAATTTTGTATTTTAAAAGTAATTGCCAACACAATGTGCATGGACGCTATGTGATTTGAAGGTATGATATCCTATTATTAACTTTGTCTGCCTTTTCTAAGCCACCAGGGCACATTTTGCAGACATGTTTTTTTTTTACAATTCAGGAAAACCTCACTATCAAGCTTTAACTTCACAGTAATTGTAGGGGTAATTTCATGGAATGTTTAGCATCATTTTTTTTAAACGGCACATACTGTGCCTCATATGGAAATGTAACCGTTATTTATGGCCGATATGTTGGTTTACCGCAGATGATCCCGAGTGCCAAACTCTAAAACCTTCCCATAAGATGGTAAATGTGTGGTTTCAGCTCAAATTGAAATATGTCTGTTTTTGAAATGATGTATATGTGTGATTGTTCCTGAAACTGTGCTGTGTGTTTCATTTGCAGGCAACCTGGCGGTGTTTAAGTGAAGCTCCTCAGATTTAGCACATCGTCACACAGATGAGCTGAGAGGTCAATGAGTTCCTGGGCTGCCAGAGAGACTGCCAAGTACATCCAGACACACTCTATTAAATGCATTATAAAACTGTTGAAACTCTCCCTGTCTCTTTTCTCCCTCTTCTTCTCTCGCTTTCACTGTTGCATAAAGCTAAATACAAAAGAAATGCACTTTTGTTTCAAGATTCTTTTTGTTTTTTTTACTTTAACCAGTCTTTCATCAATAAAAGAATAAAACAAACGGGATTAACTTTGTTCTCCTGCTCATTTTTTCAAAGAAATTAACTGAGACCTTTCTACACAAATGAGACTGGGAGATTTTAACAAAGTTGTGCTTGCTGTTTTAGTAGGAGGATGATTTTGATTTATTTCAGTAGAAATAGTGAGCCTAAAAAATAAGCAGATTTTTTTCTGGAACTGAGATTTTATTTAAACTTTGACAAATGTTGTTTTCGAACAACCCCATCACATAGACAAAGGTTTAATCCAAATGATTCTCCATTTTGTTTAGTGCAAAGTTGAAGCAGGTGTATTTTTTGCATTGTATTTGGAATTGTATATATATATTACAGGCTATTGGGTAAAGATTTGTAAGAGATTAAGCCTTATATTTAATACAAGATGTGACTTCGACTCTCTTGATTTTTTGTTAGGTGTTGCTGATAATACAACAATAACAAACAGGAAGTTGTTTAACTTTCTTACCTATGCTGCCCGCAAAAGTATATTTCTTAAATGGATATCTGATAAACCACTGACAGTATCAGAATGGCATAAAGTAATATTTGGTCTTACAGTCCTCAGCGTAAGTGAGTACACCCCATTTTGAAAATTAACATTTTTTATCCATTTCTCAGTGATAGGCAATTTGGTGCATTTAAACAAGACAGATAGTATCTTACACACACACACATACATATATATATATATATATATATATATATATATATATATATATATATATATATATATATATATATATATATATATATATATATGTATGTATGTGTGTGTGTGTGTGTGTGTGTGTGTGTGTACTGCAAATGGCATTTGTGTGAGACTCATCATTTCAGAAAAACTTAAATAAAATCCACCACTAATTTGTGAAATAAACTTCTAATGATGACTAATAAGCTGTATTTCAGCTTCATCTGAGTCTGTCTCTTTCACTATTGCTTACCTAACATAATGCATGATGAGAAGCAGACATGCATAGGCATGGGCCGGTATAAGATTTTGACGGTATGATAACCTTGGATAAAAATATCACGGTTTCACAGTTTCATGGTATTGTGATTACTGCTCTAAAATATATTCATTTTTAATGTCTGAGTAATAAACTACAACTTTTCTCACTTTTAAACACAATATATTTTATTTTAAGAAACATTTATAATATTTTGGAACAGTACAAATGTCGGGCTGAATAATGAAATTGAACTATTGATTTTATTTTTTATTTTAATTTATTTCAAAAACAGATTTAAATTTTAAAACAGTGGTATACCTTGAAAATTGTTATTGTCCCATGGCTAGACATGCACGTGGGAATGATGAGCAGGAAGAAGCAGTTCATTTGGATTTAAAGCCACAGGCTACAAAAACAGCTACAATGTATTCAGACACCAAAATGGGTATAACTGTATAGAGACTATAATAAATTATCTGATGGGTATTTAGAGCTGAAACTTTACAGACACATTCTTGAGACACCGAAGTCTTATCTTACATCCTGTAATAAGGGCAAAATATGTGCCCTTTAAGTTGATAGATATTATTTACATCTTATAAAACAAACTAGATAGATAGATGGATGGATAGATAGATAGATAGATAGATAGATAGACAGACAGACAGACAGACAGACAGACAGACAGACAGACAGACAGACAGACAGACAGACAGACAGACAGACAGACAGACAGACAGACAGACAGACAGACAGATAGATAGATAGATAGATAGATAGATAGATAGATAGATAGATAGATAGATAGATACTTTAAATTATTTTAATTCAAGAATTCACTGAAAAAATGGTTCTTTGGATTTACAAATTTTTTAAAGGTAAACATTTTTAAGGGCTGAATTTAAACAAACAAATGAAGTTGAACATTACTACATTTTATCTGTTTGTTTAAATTCAGGCCATATACATTATTTGTAATCACTTACCTTAAAAAAATATAAGTATATTGTACACTGCCCTGTTCTTTAAACATTAACATCTACAAGCAAATTTATAAATAAATAAATAAATAAAAATCTTATGAACACTGAAAAACAAATCACCCTGTCAGCTGTACCTGCTTGGAATCACAGATGTAAAGATGAGCAAGGACTCCAGATAAACTCATTCATCTGTCCTCTAGCAGTGAGCTGAGGCAGCAAATGAGAGCTGCATCCTAATGGGATGAACTGGGCCACTGCTGTAGGGGTGAAACAGAGCGCCGTGAGCATCCAGACAGAAAGCCAGACACAGACAAAAGCCCTGTGCTTCCTCCAAGTTACCTGCCACAAACACTACCTGCTACACAACCTGACCTTCTCTGCACAAACCCGCCTCTATTGTTCCCCTGTCAAGGGCAACGAAAAGAATAGCTCCATTTTTTCCCGTAAGAGCTTTTTCCACAAGCCCCACTTTGAGCATTAGTGCTTTATTGAGACATCGGCTGAAAATGAATGAGGCAGATTAAAACGAGGAATCGCTTCTTTTGCTCCAGATTTGGCTTAGTAACTGCCACAGGTCTCCAGCATGCTTTATCATATTATCTCGAGTCTCAAATGTCAATTCATTAGTCCGTTTTATTCGTCTGCTTCAGCTACATGCGTCAGATTTACGTCAGGCACAAACCAGACAACTGTGAGATTTAAGCATATGCGGAAGGACATGAGACGGCCAAGTCAAACATTCTTTGAAGTCCAGCATTTGCTGAGATATTAAGCAATCTAAAACACAAGTATAGCTCTGTGTGCTCTGCTCAGCAGCACATAGCAAAGAGAAGTCACACATTTACTCTTTAGCAATGTATGGGACTGAAGAGATACATTATCTGTATTCCCATTGAAAGTAGTCATTGTGACATACTATACAAAATATTGAGATATTGGGTAACAGGTTTATTGTCAATGATAATATTTCAATTGTTGATTTAACAATGTGCAAGCTTACGCTATTGAGTATGTCACTCACTTGGCCAAAAACAAATTCAATACCTTTATAAAGCTTTGAGGCAGTTCATTCCACTGTGGCGACCCCAGATTAATAAATGGACTAAGCCTAAAATAAAATGAATGAATGAATGAAGTTTTTGTATTGTTTACAAATTTGTATAGATAATGGTTGGATCTGAAATTGCCCCCATACCCTTTCAGGAACAGTCCACTGTTTATTGGAAATGGGCTCGTTTTACACATCACCTACAGTTAAACACTTGAGTTTTACCATTTTTTAATCCATTTATCTGATCTCAGTCTGGCGGGAGCACTTTTAGCTTAGCTTAGCTTAGCATAAATCATTGAATCGAATAAGACCATTAGCATTTCCTGTAATAATCCTGTCGCAGGTCATGAGAGTAAATTAACTCTAGTGCTGGGAAACACCCGCATACCATTAGCATGGTCTAATCTGGGTGTTCCTTTAAAAAGCGGGGTGTAACTTTAAAAAGTGCACTATTTGAGGGAACAGCCTTTTGTAGAGGTGTTTGAAACCCATAGTGGATGTTCTGAAGTGCATTCAATCAATCCCAAAAAATGCACCTCAATAACAAGTGTGCAATCGATGTACACTCAACAGCTGCACTCAATGAGAGAATACCCATAAAGCTCTGTAAGAGTTCATGCACCAAATGAATTTCTGCATCTGACCACAAGATGGCATAAACAGCTGAATTCTATCAGTGTAAGTTTCTAAATAAATGATTTAATTAAATTAACATTTGACAGAAATGTTCAAAATCTTTGTTTCATTATTAATAGACAACTTTACATATCACCGGTTTGAAAAGTTGAAAATCTTATCTGTATGAGGGTTTTATTAACCAGTAAAGCACAAACAAAACAGCATCCCTTCAAGTGCACTCAGATCTCAAATTTAAAATGTTTTCATTCATCCTTTAAGTGGACTAAATTCGTGGACTAATGTAAGGACTAATAGTGAATGAGTGTATAGGGGGCTATTTTAGATACACCCAGTCACTGCTTTAAAGGAATCACTGAGAATCACTTATTTAGACAGAAACTTGTCACCAACTTATGATGGGTTTAATGTCAAATACTATTTATCCGTGACAGGCCTAAATCGGCCAAGGTACAAGCTTGAAAAACACAGTAAAAGAAAAATTGTAAATATATACTGTAAAAATGCATATTTTTTTAGTTATATAGAGTTAAAGTCAGAATTATTAGTCCCCTGAATTATTCGCCCTGTTTATTTTTTATTTTTTTTTATATATATGTATGTATGCATTAATACACACACACACACACACACACAAACATATATATACATATATATATATATATATATATATATATATATATATATATATATATATATATATATATATATATATATATATATATATATATATATAATGCATTAAATGCAGTAAAACTTTTAAATATTTGACATTTCTTAACCCAAAATGTAATGCAGATGTTGATGCATCATGAAGGTTAAGATTTCAAACACGTTTCCATTTTTCATGCGATATCCCAAAATGAGCATAAATATATGGAGGATGTAAAACATCTTCTGATATTGCTCAAATGTTCATGTTGTTCCTCACCTAATATGTTTTATTTTAGCATCTTTTGACAAACTGAGGTCAGATACCTAAATAAATAAATGTGGAATGTACCAGCTGTACTGCATATTGGAAGGAGTTATGAATGTTTTGAAGCTGGTAGCCTGAGGGCTGGAGAGATGCCTACCTCTCTCCCTTCACAGGCCCCTGTCTAATTATACATTCCACTGAGAGATCTCCACTCAAACCACCCCGATCTGTACATGCACAAATTCATATTTCTCTCCTCTAACTGTAAACCAGCCCAGAAAGAGCTCAATGAGGGGCGGAAAAACGATCAATTAA